ACGGGACTCCCCCAGGACTTGGGATCTCTTTTCAGGTACATTTAACCCTTTTACATTAAGGGATAGTAATTTTATATACATTTGGGGGGGGGGGGGGTGGTGTTTATGTGAAGACATTGCACACGACCGCTCTGCGGGCCTTAAGCGATACAATGAAACTGAGCTCTCTCAGGGGGCCCTAGGCCCACACAGGGGATGGGAGAACTGCAGAAGAAAAAAAAGGGGGGGGGGGGGGGCGAGAACGAAATGTGAGAAACCGAGAGGAGGAGCAGGCAGGGAAGACGGGAAAGGAGAGGGATGGATAAGAACACAGAAACGTCTGGAGGTGGGGCTAGACTACTAGGCCACCTAGAAGAAGTAGAGAGGAGGCCGAGAAGGTCAGTAGACTTGGCCAAGTCAGCTGTGTGGGTGCGTGAGCAAAGACGACCAGAGGGTGAGAAGCCCGCCGACTAGAGAGAAGCACGCACATGAAGAGTATAATGTATGGCGCAGGATGTTGGCACCCTGTGTATTATATCTCTTTCTTTCTCTTAAAGAACCTTATAGGTCATCAGTTTAGCGTTACGGAGGAGGTCTGCTGCTAGAATTATTGCTCTCATTCTGGCGTGCGCGGCAATATATAACATTTGTATCGCAATCAGCGTTTTCATGCGTAGGCTCCCAGCGTGTGTGCCTTTACATTTGTATGTGCATATATGTGGGGGTGGCTCTCAATTGTTTTTAGGGGCTTTTATCTAATGATTTTGGTGACCGGTTCTCTTTATTTAGACATCCAGGGTCTAAAAGACCCTGCATGTCTACCCTGTGCTCCCCTGAATGTAATCCAATGCATATTGCATTACATTTTTTCCCGGCCTCCATGGCTGGGAATCTCTCAATTGGGACAAGGAAGTGTACATCATAATGTCACTTCCGGGTCAGGACAAGAAAGGGAGGGGACGTGTGCACTCTCCTCCCTCCCCTCTAGCCGACGGCGGTGAGTCGGTCCCGGGGCCCACAGATTGGCAAGCTGTGCCCGGAGACCTTGCGCAAGGGTGGGGGTGAGGCTGGCACTGTGTGAAAGCAATTGGCAGCAGTGCTACCACCCGAATGATTCCACCTGACAGGTGAGCCCTGCTGCTTGCCCGCAGCAGGGCTAAAGTTAAAAAATAAACTATTTTCCCGGCGCCCATTACATGTCCTGGGCGTCGGGCGTCTATGAATTCAACATCCCTGGTTTTGCATAAGAGCAGTTTCTTTCTCGTCTCTCTTGCTCCTCAGTGGGTAAAATGCAGCAGCAGTCTCCCGCTGCTGTCAATTAGAGCCTTTGATTGGAGGTAGGCTGAGCCCTGCTCTGTGTGTCCTGTAGGTGAACTCGGCGGGGTATGGAGCCATGAGCATTGGCGGGGGAACTTGAGAAGAGGTCCATTGCACAAGAGCAGGTAAGTATAACATATTTGTTATTTTAATAAGATGAAAAATGAAGCTTTACAATTACTTTAAATTAGAATTTGACATAAAAATGCTGCCTATGAGATCTGTGGAAAACGTAATACGACTTGCATCACCTATGTGTTATTTGAAATGAGAGCTCCATTAAAGTGTTTTGGTTGTTAGATGATCAAAACAACTAGTCATTTCATACCTCTGCTTTGTAACCATGATTCACATAGTAAAACACCCTCTAAAGAAACTTAGTTTCTCGGGACTGTTCTGCATTTACCCTCTATAGACCTGAGGCTGCATTCACATTTACCTTTTTTGTGCCACATGAATAGGGCAGCCCGTTGATTTCCATCTTCTGTCCTGTCTTTACTGTCATGGTAGAGTCCAGTAATTGAAATAAGGAAATGCTGCAGTGTACTCTGATAGTAATCATACAAATATTATATATAATACATAAAATACATATGAAGTGACACAATGTGCAACAAAACACAAACAGTGACCTGATCCGCCAGGGATCTACAAATATATAGATGAACTGATCTCAATGGATCCAAAGTGTACACAGTGAATGTTGTACCACCCAAATGATGATAATCTCAGATTTTTTACCAATACTAAACGTGATGGTATAAATGTGCATAGCTCCTAAAATAGGATCCAAAGTGATGGTATAAGCAAAACAAACAAAGGATATGTAAATTTAGCCCAAATCGGACTAATAAGTGATATGTCCAAATTTTGGACTCAAACGCATAAAAGTGCATAAGCATGCAAAAGCAAAATACACTGTTCAACAAATTTTTTTTTTTTTGCCAGTTTTGGAAACAAAAGGATCCATTTCTTAATGAATTTCACATTCTGAGTTCAAATATAACAATGAAATTTGTCAATTGGCTCTAGTTTTTCTGTAAACGGAAAGTTTTCTACTATAGGCGTAATGACTACATAATGCACAATAATTATATAGATAGATGTCTTTCCACAAATATAAAGCAAGTGATATTGACTACGTAACAAAGCCTAAATGGCATAATATATTGCATAGGATTACCAAGAAAAATTATAGCCATAAGCTAAGTTGAATCATTTTAATACTTAGGATTCTCACTAGTTTTGTTTTCAGTTTGTGTCGGTTTTGCTTTTCTTGGCTTTTCTCTTGTATTCGAGGAAAGGGCTATCTCTTACAACTGCACGTGACTACATACTTCAGGTTCTTCCTCACTTGACTCAACCACGAAGGATTCTGGTGCTTTAGGAATTGGTAGCCCCTCTCCATGAGGAACTGGACGTATTGCCGATGGAATATTTGGATAGTGCACAGATAACTTTTTCTTCTTATTTAGCCCTTTTACAATTGGAGGCACCATACAAAAGTAACAATTACTAAATTGATCTGTTGGCTCTCTCCAAATCTTGGCACAGCGAAAGGCATAGATGCCTTTTTTCCATTCAACCATTGCTCCAGTGCCGTCCCACAAGAATTGCAGCATATATGTGGTGCCCAGCTCTTGTCCTAGTCTCCTATCTTGCAGCCAAAATACAAGTTGTAGGCTTTCTTAATCATTCCTGTTATCCTCCTTTTTTGTGAGATAAAAGTTATTTCACCGCAGATATAGCAGAAATTATCTGCTTTATTCACACAAGTTCGAGGCATTACTGAGTAGCCTATATAAGCCTAAAACGAAATGTAAAGACGCTGTCGAACTACAATCAGCTACAGATACTGCAGCTTTTATGCAGTGAAGTGATGCAATTAAAGGCTAATATTGCATCATCTCAGTATACATGCAATTTTCTATTGGTCACCAGTATCAATTGCGCAATATGCAGCTGAAGTTGCATCATAATTTTGAATGGCTTACGTCATTAGATGGGTGAATATATCATGGAAACTAGAGCCAATCAACATTTTTTAGGGTCATTTTCGTTTTCAGCACCCCAAAATTATGTAAGATTAGCTAATTTTATGCCCAAAACTTTTTACCTGTTGAACAGTGATATCTGAATCCCAAAAAAATATATTAATTATAAAGTGTTTTCCTACATAAATCAATATATATGCAAACAATCAATGATGAATACATTAGTGAACCTATATCATGAAAAAAAAACGCATGACTTCAAACTTGGGTAAGAAATGTGAAAAAAGTCAGAATGTGGTACTACACCACTATATATTCAAATAAACAAATGACACTTGTGCACGTGGATGGTGGACGTGAATAATCACAAAGAGTATCCGGCAAAAGCCAGATTGGCCGCTCACCTCCTTGCTTCGACCCCCAGGGGGTCAAAATACTTTTGGGATCACTAAACCAGATCCTCCATGTATATGATTCCTCTATTCCTGGATATCTCTCCCCTCAGCGATCTCCCTCTCAGGGATGTGCGTGTAAGTAGCAGAATCCTCACCAAGTATACGCATATGGTATAAGCCAGTATCTTTCATCCAATTGTCCTATCCCTCGCCAGCACGAGGTGAAGAATGGGGTCATTGTATTTGGGGCTTGTGCCATGGTTTGGTATAGAGTAAATGAGCCATACTGCACATAGGTCTCTAAAATATACTAGATTCTCAATAGGACTAGCTCAGCAGCACGTTAAGGGTTGCTTTGGATTGATATTGCCCTCTGTCACATCATTCGTTGGTACTTCCAAGCGGCCAAATATGAAAAAAGTTCCTTTTTGTTTATATATGTTATTTTAAAGAGGGCAAATTTGTTTACGCTACTTTATTAGGTTAATTTAAATAACGTTTCAAGCAAAGATTTTGTTACATGCATTTTATAAATGGAAGCACGTTTGCTAGAGACATCTGCCGGCATAGTATTCCATTCTTTGCCACGGTAGCTGCTTGAAGCATATTGAACTATTTTAAGTATTCCCAGAAATTCTTCAGAATAAAGAACATTTGTGTGGCTATGTAGGAAGAAATAAATGTAGGTTCATGCTCCTGGTCAGCATTTCACTCAGTATCCACATTTAAACATTAAATGGGTTATTCTACTCCCCTGGGCTAAGTGTATGTAAAGGCAAAAACATTCTATATTTTTTTTTTTTTTCAATTTTGAACATGGTAGGCAAAGGTTAGACCCCCTACCAAATTTTTGTTGTGGTCTGTATCACTGCTATGCATATTTGCTTTTTGTATTTGCCTTGGTGATCACGGTTACGAATATAGAAGGTAAGAGGAAATCCTAAATTTTGGATTTGCCAGAAGAGCAAGAGGTGTGAGGGGAAGACTTCCAAAATGAACAAATGTGCTAGTGACAACTAAGATGGGAATTCCCCTTACTTTAGGGGGATTTTATCTTGTTTTCTTTTGTATCTTCAAGACAGGAAGTGAGGAGAAACTTCCCTAGCAGGAAAGAGACAGAAAAATAAAACCTGGTGGTGCTTTTTAACCCTTACCTACTCCTTTCAGTTAGTAATCATGTTTTTAGCTTTACTGTTTTTGACCACTTACCACTTTTACCCCCTTCCTGCCCAGACAAATTTTCAGCTTTCAGCGCTGTCACACTTTGATAATTACGCAGTCATGCAACACTGCACCCAAACAAAATTTTTCTCTTTCACTGATGTGCGCTAATGAGGCTGCACTGATGGGCATTTCCAGGCATCACTGGTGGGCATTGGCAAACATCACTGATGGGTACTGAAAGGCAGCACACATAGGACACTGATAGGTGGCACTGACGGGCACTGATAGGCATCACTGACTGGCACTAATAGGCTGCGCTGACTGGCAGCTCTGATGGGCACTGATATGTGGCATTGATGTGCACTAGTAGCCACCGATATGTGGCATTGATGGCCACTGGTATGTGGCATTGAGCACTGACAGATGGCACTGATGGGCACTGACAGGTGACGTCCTCCCACTCTAACTGCGGGGGTGCGTGGCGATTGGTGGTGCGCTGTGTCCCAGGGACACAGCAGATCACCTATCACAGTAAAGAGCCGATGACACAGTCTCTGTCATGTGATCAGCTGTGTCCAATCACAGCTGATCGCATGTAAATAAGGAAATGCCGGTTATCTGCATTTCTCTCCTCACGAGCTGTCACGCTGACCACTCGTGAGGAGAGCCTGTAATCGGCATTCCTCAGAGGGGACATGTACACTGATCATCTGGGCACTGATGATCAGTGTAGCCCCATCAATGCCACCTATTAGTGCCACATCAATGCCGCATATCAGTGCCTACCAGTGCACGTCAATGCCACATATCAGTGCCCATCTCAGCTGCTTGTCAGTGCCACCTATCAGTGTTGCCCATCAGTGTCATCTATCAGTGCTATATGAGTGCTGCCTTTCAGTGCCCATCAGTGATGCCTGTCAATGCCTATCAGTGCCCATCACTGCAGCCTCATTAGCGCACATCAGTGAAGGAGAAAATTCACTTATTTACAAAATTTTATAACAGAACTAAGAAAAAACGTTTGGTTCTTTTTTTCAAAATTTTCAGTTTTTGGTTTGTTTAGCAAAAGATAAAAAACCCAGAGGTGATTAAATACCACCAAAAGAAAGCTCTGTCTCAAAAAAATGAAAAAAATTTAATATGGGTACAGTGTTGTATGACCGCACAATTGTCATTCAAAATGTGACAGCGCTGAAAGCTGAAAATTGTCCTGGGCAGGAAGGGGGTATAAGTGCCCTGTAGGCAAGTGGTTAAAGGAAGCCTATACAGAGAGAACATGGAGGCTGCCCTTGTTTACCTCTCCTAAAAGTTCATGTTATTTTACCTTTCACTGTGATCTGAGTTCACTGTGCAAGTAGGGATATGCTATGCATATAGCAGGTTTCAGAAAAAAAAAATTGGCCCCATTCACACTTGTGATTTGGCCATTTGCAATTAGATGATCTCTATGATGAGCTGCAGACAGGAAGCACTATTTAAGTGCAGGAGCCCCACTGGGTCTTCTGCACCGAATTGCAAACTGCCCGATCTGCAAGTGTCCAGGAACTTTTGCAGGGGAATCGGGAGGGGTGGGGGACAGCACTCCAGAGCTGGTATGCGTATATCATTTGTAATAATAAAATTAAGATGTGGCAAAATATCTTGCCTCCTCTAGCAGGGATCTTAGTTTAGGCAGAGTATGTTTCTACAATCCACATTTCCATTAGGGATCTTGGAGCTTTGTTTTCATTGAAAGCAGCTAAGAAGACCCAAAACAGCAAGTGCCAGCAGTTGTGTTTCATCAGCCATATGTATTTTTTTCCCCTCCAGATCCAGAAGTTGTGTGATAGAGTTGTTTCATCTACTTTGCTGGAAGACAGAAGGGATGCTGTAAGAGCCCTCAAGTCCTTGTCAAAGGTCTGTTCATTTTTGTTGATTGTGTATGGCCTCTGGGCAGTGCATTGTGAAGGCTTTTTTTATTCTATATACTTGTGATTCATTGAGCTGCATAAGTGAATTATACTGTGCTGTTTTGTTTGGTGGGCCCAGTATAAGGTATAAAAAAACTAATTAAGAAAGACATAATAATCACTGCCCTTTATTTAGAAAGCAAAAGAGCATTACGGGTTAAGTGGTGAATATTACATATGTGGTTTTTATATTTTATTTGTACTTGTAACAGACTCTATAGCACATTATTTAGCTATATGTAGTTGACATATGTTTCCCTTTTTGGTAAACAGAAATATCGTCTTGAGGTGGGCACTCAGGCTATGGACATTCTCCTGAATGTACTACAGACCGATCGGTAAGCTGTTTCTTTTCATAAATTAATCCTCTTTATAGTAACTCTTTAGCATGGAATCATTTGAATGTAAAGCATACCTGCAAAACGATTTCATATTCTAACCTAGTGGCCTGCTTCTTAAAAAGCCACCAGTAACTTGTGAATTAACACTTTTGAATATAGATCCTGATCCCTCATTTCTGAACAGTCAGCTCTTCAGTAGAGGCACTGTTAAATGTACACTGCCGTCAAAAGCAAAAAGTAAGCTAAACTCCAAGTAAACGGCTAAATACTTAAATTAAATACAGCCCTGGCCAAAAGTTTTGAGAATGACACAAATATTAGTTTTCACAAAGTATGCTGCCTCGGCTTTTATGATAACAATTTGCATGTACTCCAGAATGTTATAAAGAGTGATCAGATGAATTGCAATTAATTGCAACATCCCTCTTTGCCAGGAAAATGAACGTAATACAAAAAAAAAAAAACATTTTGACTGCATTTCAGCCCTGCCACAAAAGGACCAGCTGACATAATGTCAGCGATTTTCTCGTTAACACAGGTATCAGTGTTGATGAGGACAAGGCTGGAGATCACGCTATCATGCTGATTAAGTTAGAATAACAGGCTGGAAGCTTTAAAAGGAGGGTGGTGTTTGAAATAATTGTTTTTCCTCTGTTATCCATGGTTACCTGAAAGGAAACACGTGCAGTCATCATTGCTTTGCACAAAAAGGGATTCACAGGCAAGGGTATTGCTGCAGCTAAGATTGCACCTAAATCAACCATTTATTGGATCATCAAGGACTTCAAGGTAAGAGGTTCAGTTGTTGTGAAGAAGGCATCAGGACGCCCAAGAAAGTCCAGCAAGTGCCAGGATCGTCTCCTAAAGTTGATTCAGCTGCGGGATCGGGGCACCACCAGTGCAGAGCTTGCTCAGGAATGGCAGCAGGCAGGTGTGAGTGCATCTGCACGCACAGTGAGTTGAAGACTATTGGAGCATGGCCTGGTGTCAAGAAGGGCAGCAAAGAAGCCACTTCTCTCCAGGAAAAACATCAGGGACAGATTGATATTAAGCAAAATGCACAGGGATTGAACTGCTGAGGACTGGGTAAGGTCATTTTCTCTGATGAATCCCCTTTTTCGATTGTTTGGAGCATCCTGAAAAAACCTTGTCTGTAGAAGAAAAGGTGAGGGCTACCATCAGCCCTGTGTCATGCCCAACAGTAAAGCATCCGGAGATCATTCATGTGTAGGGTTGCTTCTCAGCCAAAGGAGTGGGCTCACTCACAATTTTGCCTAAGAACACAGTCCTGAATAAAGAATAGTACAAAAAACATCCTCTGAAAGCAACTTCTCCCAACCATCCAAGAACAGTTGATGACAAACAATGCCTTTTCCAGCATGATGGAGCATAAGGCAAAAGTGATAACTCAGTGGCTTGGAACAAATCATCGAAAGTTTGGGTCCGTGGCCAGGAAACTCCCCAGACCTTAATTCCATTGAGAACTTGTGGTCAATCCTTAAGAGGCGGGTGAGCAAAAAAAACCCTCAAATTCTAACAAACTGCAAGCATTGATTATGCAAGAATGGGCTGCCATCAGTCAGGATGTCGCCCAGAAGTTGACTGACAGCATGCCAGGGTGAACTGCAGAGGTCTTGGAAAAGAAGGGATCAACACTGCAAATACTAACTACATAAACTTAATGTAATTGTCAATAAATGCCTTTTGACACTTATGAAATGCTTGTAATTATACTTCAGTATACTATATTAACATCGGACAAAAAGATCTAAAAACACTGAAGCAGTAGACTTTGTGAAAATGATGATTTATCCTTGTCTCAATTTATTACATCACAGAAACCTGACACTTTAACAGGGATGTGTAAACTTTTTATATCCAGTGTGTGTGTGTGTGTGCGTGTGTATGTATGTAATATATATGTGTGTGTGTGTATATGTGTGTGTGTGTGTATGTATATGTGTGTGTATATATTAGTGAGAACTAGCATCAAGGGTAGATCTTTAAAGTACACAGCCACTCGCTTTCATCGTTTTAAGGGCCGTTTTTGCCCAATTTTATTTAAAAGAAAATTCCATAAATCCAACACCATAGATTTCCCTCCACAGGGGTTTTCAGCATTTCACTCTTCCAAACACAGACATTTAGCCTCCTGGCTTATACATACAGTCCTGCTGCTCTGGCTTTCCACTTCAGGCTCATGTCTGTCTCCTGCAGACTCTTTTCTAAACGGCTCTTTCAGGCACACAGCTAGCAGCCCCTTGCTGCTCTGTCTCCCACCTATCCTCTGTGGAACTCTCCTGACTCCTGGGCAATGGCCTCCTCTCTACCGGGGTGGAGCCCAGAACCGTGGTTTGGCCTCTATGAAAAGGCCTGCACACACCTGTGTAATCGATGTGCTGGCTGTTCCCAGACCCTGGACCCAGGACTGGAGATTTTACACACAACTGAATTGTACAGTTTTATAGGTCACATTAAAGGTGGAAAAAGTTCAGAATTTATTCCTTTGTCTCATTTTTTCACATCACAGAAACCTGACATTTTAATAGGGGTTACTTTTAATCCTTTCCTCTATTCCTGTACGATGAGAACTGCTTTTTAGGGCTGGTTAGTACTAGCAGCAAGAAGTGCTGCTCCTGTGAATAGCCTTCCATGCTCAGATCACTTTTCAGAGGTATTTGACAGGCTGTGAAAAGGCAGTATGTTGCTTCCTCACCTCCTGTTTTAACTTCCTATACACATCACCACGCCACAACCACATACAATGCACACAATTGTGGGGCAGTTGCATTCCATTCACCTGGGGGTATACTTTCAGCTGCACACACAGCATGCGTACAGTTGTGTAGCAGTTGGGAGCAGTAAAAACTCAACTAGGTGGTTTAATCACCTTCCAAGCTCACATGTGAACAAGCTCTTGGTTTACATCTGTGCTGCTAAGTGTAGGGCAGCCCAGTCCTTTCAGTGGGCTGCCCTTTCAAAGAGGTCCCTAACCCTTCTTTGAAAATCATGCCACAGCAAAAAATACACTGCGTTTGCCAGTGTGTGGGGTACGATTTAGAATTAATGTCACCCCTGCACATCTACTAGAGCAGTGCATTTGTCTGCTTGTCAGAAAATAATGTGATTTTGCACACATTACACAGCACTCAGTACTGTGAACAAAGCCTTAGACTTGGTGCGTCAAGACTGAGAATACTGTTCTAGGGCACTTTGACGGGAAAAAGGTTGAGAAACGCTAGGTTAAAGGTTCTACTCAAACTAGAGCGGACTAGCTGCTGACTGCGCTAGGGGGCAGTGTGGTGCACAATTCAGCACATCACATGGCTCCCCCCTTTTTTTTTTTTTTTTTTTTTTTTAAAACAAACATTTGCAGTGTACAAAACATTCACTTCATTCATGGCGCTGTCAAGCGCTCTGTGTTGCAGTATGTATGCGACACGTAGGAAACAATTGTATTCAATTTTGTCCTAGTGGTGGTAGGCATTTTACAATGTGGTAAAAAATCTGTCACCACACAATGCATGAATTAGCCCTTACACTGTGTAAGAGAGTAATTAAGAGTACCCTATGTGGTATTAAAAAAAAAGATGGTCTCTCTGTCCTAAGACGGCTGGTCTTTCCAGGCCTCTGCAAACTGTGTACAAGTGTTCTAAAGGATTGGACATGTTTGTCAGAAAGTGGACAGTTTCTCCAAAATATTTTCAATAACCCTCCAAGTATGTAAATAAAAATCTGAAATAACTCTTTAGCCACTTAAAGAATCTTGGCATGTGCTGGAAACCGACAGGTTCGCAGTTGGGGGGTCAACTTTTCCATAGGGGCCCACAAGCTTCCAGCTACACCTCTGGGGGGATAATCCAAAATGTTTAGTTTTAACCAGTACAGGAATAGAAAAGTGGTCTTTCAGTGGAAACACCTGTTATGATACCAACTATATAAGAGAGGATTTTGCTCACTTCGGAGTTTTCCTCTCATTTCCTGTTGTGCCTAAGCTACAGGATGTGAAGAGAAATCTCCTCAATGGGACATAGACTGCAAAAAAAACCTGACAGCATCTTAACTTCTTCCTTGCTGTAGCCAAAACTTAAAAAAACTTGTTTTGACTGTAGATATACCTTAAGGGCATTTACAGTTTACCTTTTAATAATGAATAAAGATAGAGATGATCTGCTTTTTTTATGCATTGTCCCGGTGGTATGCACACAGTTATACTCATGTTATAATTTAAAGTTGTTGCTAAAGGGCTGCAGAATGAAAGAAAGGCTGTTAAATAAAGAATATATGAAATTATATCTGAGCTGCTTTTTTTTCTTCTATTAGATCCGATTCTGAAATCATTGGCTATGCATTGGATACATTGTACAATATTGTGTCTAATGATACAGAGGAGGCAGGTAAGTCATATAATCTGTTTTTGTGTGAAGGATCCATTGTGGATTGTGTCTTTCATCTGTATCAAGCTTGGGGCCATTTCCATCTTCCACTGAAAGTCCCTTCCTAACATCTTTCAACAAACAGAAAGCGCCTGTCTGTCATAAACCCAGAAGTCATATTTTCCTTTTTTCTCTGGATTTTGGATTTGAACAATTCCCAGATTTTCACTCTTAATATGTTGGCTTATTTCAGATGGTGATTTGAAAGGTAATTTGTCATTAGAAGAGGAGCACTAATGTGTACTATTTTCTAACATCAGAGTAGTTTTTATTTGCTTGACTTCATTAAAGCTGAATTCTAGGTTTTTGTGGTTTTTTTTTGTTCTTAGTTTTTTCCGGTCCACTTTACATCAATGTAAATAAGCATATTCCAGACCTGGCTACTAGTGGCTACTGATCAGAGGCCAGCCACCTGTCACAGGATCTGGAAGACAGCAAAGAATCACATAATTCTCCTCTTCCACAAAGATCAGACAGTTATGGAATATCCATTTTTACATTGGTCCAAGGTGGATCAATGTAACTATGCAAAAAAATATCCATACATGGAATACAGATTTAAAGTGTAACTCCACTTTAGGCCCCATTCACACTTGCGTTGGGTTTGTTAGGGATTAGATATGGGATTACCTAGGGTGAACACCACTTTGAGAGCAATAGTAGGCTGACAGCTCCTGCAGCTAATCGTGCCTGCACACATTTAAACTTGAATTAAAGGCAAAACTTTTGGTTTTGGGTAGACTGGAGCTGGATTAGAACACTTGCCAGTTTTTATGGCTGTCTGTGCCCCCCATTGGGGAAATCTTCCAATGGGGACACTAGTTCTGGTGAACTGGGGGTTCCCAAGGAATTCCCTTAAATTGTAAGGATTTCCTCTCACTTCCTGTTTGGCAATGGGACAGGAAGTGAAATCTCTGCAATGGAACACAGATGGCAAAAAAAACAATCTGACAGAGGTTATAACCCTCCCTTGCTCTATCCAATATGAAAAAAAAAAAAGTTTTGCTTATAGTGCTGCTTTAATTGCTCATGGAGCTGATCATTATCCAGGTAGTCTGTGCTTGAGCAATTACAAGCGAGCGCCTGCTGTTGCAGGTACCATATGACCTCTGTGACCAATCACAGCAGGTCACATAACATTTGTAAACAGTGGATGAATTCCTTTCATTCCATCCATTGTATACATTTGTGTTGCCAGCTGTGGTTGGTCACAGTGATCACATAGGACAGACTGGGCCAATCACAGCTACACAAAAATGGCAACCGTCCCAACCTATAACCAGCTTTAGCAGTAAGGTACACATGGAAGCGCAATGCAAACAAACAAAGGATTTCCCAGAAACACTTGCCAGCCTGCAAAACAATTTGGTCCTGTTTAACAGTTCAGTTTGCGTTAAAAGCAGAGGATTTGTTTTGCACACATTTGCAAACACATGCGTAAGCCACAGTCCCGTGTCAAGGGTCCTCTTTATACTGTGGACCTAACTAAAATTTCCAAAGTCTCCATAGTAGGAGCACATGTAGAAATGGATAGGTTAAGGGCAGGTGTGTCTGGAGGAGCCCATCCCTCCTTAAAGGTACAGGGACACATGTGATGCCCAGCTTTACCAAAAATGATAGCAAAGGCATCCAGTGCGTCCCTGCATCCAAATTAGCCAACTACACAAAAAATGTCAACTATCCCAACATATAATCAGCCTTAGCAGTAAGGTGCACATGGAAGGGCAATGCACATCGCCAGTCACAGCCCATCTGTGTTATCTGATTAGCTGTGGCCAATCACAGCTAATAACAGCAACATAAACTGAATCGATTTCATTCAGTAAAATGCTTGCTTATAACAATTAACTACTTGCCCTCCAGAGGATTTACCCCCCTTCTTGACCAGGCCATTATTTTGCGATACAGCGCTGCGTTACTTAAACTGACAATTGCATGGCCATGTAACGCTGCATCCAAATGAAATTTACGTCCTTTTTTTCCCACAAATAGAGCTTTCTTTCAGTGGTATTTGATCCCTTGTGCATTTATTTTTTGCACTATAAACAAAAAAAAAAAACAATACTTTGGACTTTTTGCTATTAAACATGTCCAGTAAAAAAATGTAAAACATCGAATTTCATCATAAATTTAGGCCAAAATGTATTCGGCTACATATCTTTGCTAAAAAAAAAAATCCCAATACGTGTAAATAATTGGTTTACGTGAAAGTTATAGTGTTTACAAAGGGGTGTATATACTGGAATTTTATTTTTTTTAACTAGTAATGACGGCAATCAGCGACTTATAGCTGGGACTGCGGCGGACATTCTGACACTGGGGGGAACTGACTGACATCCCCAGTGACACCAATACAGTGATCAGTCCTAATAAAAAGCACTGACACTGTACTAATGGCACTGGGCAAGTAGGGGTTACAGTCATTGCTATAAGCAATCATAGCGTGTAAAAAAAAAAAAAAAAATACTGATCACTTCCCCAGATTAGTACAGTGTTGCTGTAGTAACATATTACTCTGGTCACAGTGTGTTTATAAAAGAGAAAAAGATGTAATTTAAAAAAAAAAAAATTTAAGAAATGTTATTTATTTTTTTGTACTGTCACCATTCAGTGTCCCTGATCACTGCTACACCAGTTATATGATGATGCCGTACTGCACTGGTGACAGTATGTTAAGGAAAAAGTCTACTTTCCAAAAAAAGCGGCCATTGGGGGAGATCTGTACTGTTCTGACATTTTTGGGAATCAGGAAATGAGATAGGCCGTCAGTACATCAGGATTGATCGGATTTCACATACGGTATATACAATAATTTGTGGACTTTCCTACAGACTAAATATTATACACTGATTTGGGTTATTTTCACCAAAGAAATGTAACAGAATATTTTTTGGCATTAATTTATGACGAACAAATATTTGTTTGCAACATTTTATGACAGAAATGAAGAAAAATTATTTTTTTAATTTTTGTCCTTTTTTTGTTTATTTAGCAAAAAATAAAATACCCTGTGATGATCAAAAGAAAGCTCTATTTGTGTGAACAGAATAATAAAAATTTAGTTTGGGTACAGTGTTGCATGACTGTGCAATTGTCATTGTCAAAGTGCGACAGTGCTGAAAGCTGAAAAATTTGGCCTGGCCAGGAAGGGGGGTGCCCTGTATTGAAGTGGTTAATCGCTAATGGCCCCACTATCAAAGTGTGGATTGGTCATATTTACTACAAGACATATTGTTAAACTTTGTTGCACCTAAAAGGGAGCTGATTTTTGATAATCTAAAATTGTAAAATGGCTTTTGTAGCAATTCTGCATGGAAAATCAATTTTCGAATGAGGTTTTTATATATGCCCATAAATTTAATTCAGATTTTTTTTTTTTAGTTTTGATTTAATATGTCTTAATTTTCTTTGCAAAAATAGTTTACATTTGAATTCCAGCCAACCAAAGCAACATATCTAAATCTCTATTTCTGACCCCATTTCATTAAGCAAAAAGATAATTTTCCCTGTGGAGATATTTAAGTTTTAATCCCTGTCTCCAACAGAAGGTCTCCCAACTGAATTATTATTAGTTGGAGCTGGCGTCATGCTCTTCAGGGCACTCTACATGCCTAAATGTCTTCCTATACATGTAGACTGTCCTATAAGGGCTAGTGCGGGCAACTGCATTGGTTGTGACAGGGTTGCAGAGAACATCCTTGTCATCACTGCAGTAATATCTGCAGCAACTTACTGCAATAATATCTCGTATTGCTACATAGATGTTCTATTGTAAAAATCGCTAACCCCTTCTTCCACTGTATAGCAGGAAAATTGTGGACATGAGCAGCCAGACACAACATTGATGTTCTGCTGCCTTGTTTAGTGCTGTCAGGATCCAAGCAATTTAAAGATGTTGGAAGAGCAGACCAAAGCAGGAGAAAAGTGGAGCTGCTGCTTCTTACTCACCCCTACCCCCTTCCCTCACGTATGGCAGGCTTATTATAGGATTGGTCAACCAGATACAGCTTTACTGTGTTAACATCTTAAGTACAGTGGACTGAAAGTCTGAAGAAAGAGGTAAGGGAAGGTGAGCAGCCAGGCACAATACTGTTCTGCAGCAGAACACCAGTATTGCTGCAAGCTCACCCTCCCTCCCCTGCAGAGAATGTATAGAAAGCCATCACAGGTAAAACAAGCTGAAGGTTGGGAGACAGAGGTAAGGGGAAAGTGAGCTGCCAGAAATAATACAGCTGTTTTGCTGCCTTGCTCAGCGCAGTAAGGGTCCAAGCAATAACAGGACACTGGCTGCTGTAAGCAAGGTAACAGACCCTCCCCTACCTCTTTCCACCCACCCTTAAGCTGGCCATACACATGTAAATTTTCAGATGAGAATATTCATAAGAAAAGTCTTATGAAACTTCTTTGCACATTTGATGAGTGGACAAATGTCGTTGGTTTCTGAACAAAAACCACATACACTCACTGGCCGAAAATTAATTTGATCAAGAAAAGTTTTCCTTCCTGCCCCTTTGACTGCAGTTGAATATGAACATTGATTTGATTCCACAAATGATAAGAAAATCAAACAAATATTCTTGAAATTCTCAAACGAAAATCTATACGTGTTTGGCCAGCTTAAGCCAGCTCTGTCTGCAGTGTAAAAAAGAATAGGAGCATAGTGGTGGAGTGCAGAGGTGCGGTGCTAGGCAGAGAGACAGTGTATACCCCACAAGTGCTGGAAGCTTCCCTCTCACTCATGACATCAGCACAGAAGGGAACAGAGAGCCAACTGGCTCCTTTAAACAGGAAATTGGTATCTTCTGACTGGCAACATTTAGCTGGTTTTTAGGCTCCACTGACAAAAAAAAAACTAAAAAATAGAGAACATTCCTAAATAGTAATTTGGAATTTGGCTTTAAAAAAAACCTGATTCTACATATTGGAAAGCCATATTCATGAGCAAAAATTGTACAGGATTG